CGGCCACGGATGTAAGCCGCCAACCATCGGACCAGGCCAGTCGGGATGTTCACGGAGACCAAGTCCTGCAGGAGCTGATCGTGGCGGACGCAGTCAAAGGCTCGTGACAGGTCAGCTAAGACAGAGCTGATCGTGGCGGACGCAGTCAAAGGCTCGTGACAGGTCAATTGAGACAGCGCCACGGTCTGCTGTTCGTTGTTCCCACTGGTGAAATATTTTGACCGATGTCAAACTTTGAAACCTCCCCTTTTATTGTCGAGCCAATTGCTCGTTCGCGTTGAACGCACTGAAGGCTGACTAAACATACATCAGTTTGTTGTATCATAAAACTAACCTTACTGATATCTACATCGATGTGTTGGCGTGTTCGAATGACTATAACTATCACCACCGCTTAGTATCCCAAAATTTTCAAACATTTCTGTTTCCAGTAATGAATATTCTAAGCACATTCAAAAGTCAGCAATATATTACCCCGTTGTCAACCAACGCCGGCATATTTAAGCAATTTCCAATTCAAGTGCATTCTTTATTTTGAAATATATAACCGCACCTTTAGGAGGTAAGTTGAGTGTGGATTTCTAATTCAGGGTGTTCCACACTGAAAGGGCTTACTTCAGCTTAAACGGGGTCGCGGAGCAAAGTACATTAGTGTTTCAGTATTGTTGGTTGCAAAATGTCCAAGTTAACATGATCGAAACCTGGCCGACAATGACAGTTTGGCCGTCCTTGTCGATAATGTCAACCGTGTGCCCCACGATACGGTGGGCACATGGACGGTGACTTGCGCTGAATCTACCGTAATCCGTTCTAGCCCACTGAATTCTATAGGTTATCATAACTTGACGCCAACAAGAGGGCATCGTCAACGTAGTCCAGCCAGCAACCCAACGCACAATTAAAACTTATACAACACCAACACTTCAGTTAGTTGCGTAGTCAAACAGGCTGGGGACGATATGAAAACTTGTATAACCCCAAACTGTATCTCTAACAACTGAGAAATATTGCTATACGTCAGAACTCGCAGGATGGTAGAGCACTAGTAGTCTATAATAATGTTCATTCTTACTGGCAGACCATCTGGTTTTATCATTCACTCCCGGGATTCACGGTAGACGGAATCAGACCCCGTAGTTAGAAAAGCAGACGGCGTCAGTTGTTGGTACCCATAGGGACGTTCAAGAATGCGCTGCATTGTGAATACCCGGTCGTCAGGTCTGTATGGCAGCCCGCTGTAGAAAACGAAACTGAGTAGGTTGGTTTTACATGAGGTAGGCTCTTTTTGACTTCATATATATCACATTGGTGGAAGCCCACCGAAGGGATAAACCGGTAAAAAATTGTTCGAAATAGACTGTATACAGACAGTAACGAATTTCTGACTTAGGCACTCGGGCAATAAAGATCTCAGTAGCCAACTCATCATTCACCCTGTATCAGCGCACACACGATTCTTCTGGTAGAAACGGTATGGCGATCGCCCTCTCGCAATATGCGAAGCCTGCACGTCTTGCTTAAAAACCAGTCAATGAACGGACAACCTACGTGTGACTGAAGGGCCACTTCATGAACACCACGAAAGTGTTTTCAAGCTGCATCCCTGACAAGGGGAATGCATATCTCGAGATTATTGACTGTCAACTCGAAGAAGTAGGCAGTTTCAAATATCTCAGGGCGACGCGCCTGCCGACAGGACGGAATAAAGCCAACATAGTTTTCTGGACTATCCAAAGCCTCAGAAATTGTGTATGGATCCGGCGCGACAGCTTAATCGCCACGAAAATTTGCGTGTACCGTGCATCCTCCGGTCTGTCTTTCTCTGCGTTTGTGAATGCTGGGTTGTACGAGCGAAAGATGAGATGGAAGTGGTTCTTAGAACTTCGGTATTCGGTCTCCGTTGACGGTGAAGAGAATGGGCGCGGATTGTAGTGTGTTGAGTACATGATGTAATCGTGGCCGGTAGATCAGGTGTTCTCGCAGCCGTACCAGCTACACGTCGTGAAGATGCATTGGGATCGGCTGATATAGGTTTAAGCAAGGTAAATATCAACCGTCCACGTCCTTCTTCACTGTTGCAAGTTCCAACAAGTTCCAAGTTCCAGTTAGCAGCATCTTTTTGTCTTGTCATATCAAAGACAGACAGGAGTTAACAGACCTGCTTTTTGTCGAGAAAACATCACTGTGTGTAACTCGCTTAAGCCGTGGTTTGCTTGTTTGATCTAAATTGTTAAGTTAATTTGAATACGCAGGCGCTGGTTTCCGCGTAATCTGTTCGATCAACTTCAGATAACTTGACGAACGGGAAACTCGAACTATCTGTTGTAGTTACTGTTTATCTATCAGAAAGATTATGAACTTTTGTCAATTTAAAATTGTCTACTCAATACCTACATGACGTCCCATCTTAATGAAATTCGGGCCCTTTTAAACTGGCCACCTGGTTAAACTACGATTTGGTATAGTATACATAATTGTCGATACAACGTAATCTTGACGGTGTTTATTGAAAATGAATAAATATGACTGTAGTGTTGCATTTTCTGCTGCGTGTGGTTATGAATATTTCTTGCTTCGTCCAGAGAACTTGGTCTGCATTCGATTACACACCTGTTTATGGATGGAGGTCAATCAGGTGGTTATTCCTCACATAAGGACCCTGTAGATGCAGATCGGCAAATTTGCTGCCTTGAATAATTCCAAGGTGTCAGTCAGAGCTGTATCACATTTCTTTCTCGAGGCTGCCCTTGCGTTTTCCCTAATCGTTTATTTTTATTCCTCTCTGTAGGGCCCGCCTGGCGTACAGTACCCGGGCCCTTTACTGCCCCCATCACCGAATCCCCTCGATCCTTACTCGGGGTCTGAGTGTAAGGGAGGCCTCACCATCTACCAAGACCACTTTGAACGCCCCTTTCTTCTCGAAACCAAACGTTTTTACATGCTGGAGAGTACACAGCTTCTTCAAACCAGCAGCGTCATGGACTACCTCAAACGCGTAAGCTTCACCTATCCATACCCTAACTCATCTGTAGTCCTCTAGTTTTGATATGTAGCTTATTTATTATTTACCCGGTTACCGGTTTACCGTACTTAATGCAGGTTAAATACCCACATAGCTAGTAGAACATTCATATAGTAGTACTTTTCAGCGACGTTGGCGCTCCGCCGTTATTTTTAAATGAAGAACATTTTCGACGAGAATGCTCTAAGATAACACTGGGTGGATATGCAGATTCGATACCTTTGGGCTTGAGAATTTAATATTCTCCATGGACGCCTAAGCGTCAGCTCTAGTTAGCACGAATAAAGGGAGGAAAAATTTATTTATAATTAGTTAGATTATCTGCGTTGGATCAGAAATATATTTGGGCTAATGGAGAAAAAAAACCGATGGCAGATAGCTTCCTCTAAGATTTATAGTCCATCCAGTTAAAGTCAGGCTTCTTGTGGAGTAAAATCAATATGCCGTAGC